AGATGGAGGTGAAGGTGGTCATGGCCAAGCTGCTGCAGAGGCTGGAGTTCCGGCTGGTGCCCGGGCAGCGCTACGGGCTGCAGGAACAGGCCACGCTCAAGCCGCTGGACCCCGTGCTCTGCACCCTGCAGCCCCGGGGCTGGCAGCCNGGGGCTGGCAGCCCGCGCCCCCGCCCCCGCCCTGCTGAGGGCGCCCTGGGCAGCACAGGACTCCTTGGGCAGGGGCCGCACCCCCCTCCTCTGCAACCCCCAGCACCCGCCCTGCTCCCCCCGCGTCCCTGGAGGCACCCTCCGCTCGGGCTCCCAGAGGGCCCTGTGCCAGCCGCCTCCTGCTGAGCTCCCTGTCTGCTGCTAACTCCACTGCCCTTCCTGGACCAGCCCCGCCTGACTCCCAGCTGCCACCCAGATGTGCCATTGTCTCCCCCACCTCTTTGCACAGGCCACTCCCTCTGCCAGACACCCTAACTCCTGCTTACCCCTGAACGCCCTCGTCAGGTATCGCCTCCTCCAGGAAGCCCTCCCTGCCCCCCCCAGCCGGGCCAGGGGCCCCTCCTCTGTGCTCCCTTGGTCACCTGTGCTACCTCTAACACCACACTGACCACTGTATTGTGAATGTCCTTTGAAACGACCGACCGCCCTGCCAGGCTGTGAGAGCCTCTTCGCGGGGTCTGTGTGTGATTCGTCTCTGTGGCCTCCCGTGCCCACCGAGGGCCTGGCACAGAGTCGATGCTCAATAAATATGTGTTGACTGCATGAATGATCGGCCAGACCAGGCTAGGGTGTTCTGCCCTCAGTTTACTCATCTGTAAAATGGGGTGATGTTGAGGCTGACACAGCTCTGGAAGCTGCCCCTAGAGAGGCCCAGGCACTGTCCCCTTGGGAGGAAACTGCCCAGGTTCCTGGGAGGCCCCGTGTTCGCAGATGCCTGTTCCCTTGCTGTGTGCAAGGCCGTGCTCCTGGGGGAAGTGTGGGGTTGGGATCATAGGCAGGGTTCTGAGAGCTTGATTTGAGAGGGTCAGGGGCAGTGGGGCCTGTGTGGTCTGGTCTACTCCCCACAAGGGCACTGACTCACAGAGGCTGGAGCCCTCGGTCCTCTCATGGGGCAGCTGGTGGAGCCGAGCACCTGGTGCCTGGCCTCATGCCCATGACATCTCTTCACCTGCTGGCACGATGCTACCCCTCCCAACCTGTTGAAGGAGGCCAGTGGGGGCCCAGCCCCAGGTGGTGGGACTGTAACCCTCACAATGGTGGTCGTGGGTGAAGAAGCCATACCTTCCTCCCCAGGGCCTCGGGGTGGCCAAGGGACAGTAAATATTGGCCCATCCAAGGATAAGAGCTGGCTCTAAGTCTGTCCTTCAGCACTTGGGAGTTGTAGCTGTGCAAAGAGAACCAAACATCCTCACCCACTGCCTGGGCTATGTGCCCAGAAAGGTGCCCCCCCCCCGCACACCAGGGAGGGGTGGACTTTGGCCAGCCTTGCCACACACTAGCTCTTCAGTCTTTGCCACCATCCTGAGGATCTTCCCATGTGGCAGACCAGGACACAGCTCAGTGAGGTAGTGACTCGCCTGGTGCAGGTGGATGTGCTGCACTGGGGTGGAGCTGGGACCCCACCCAGGCTGAAGTGGTTTCACCTAAGCCTCTGGGCACAGGGTCTGGCCTCTGGGTGCCACCTGGGCACTCAGCTGGCCCTTATCAAGCGTGTCCCCACCTCTGTTTCCAGTTCCCTGCCTGGGGGCCCAGAATCTTCTGTGGCTCTGAGACATGTGCCTGGGCTCTGCCTCTAGCTACATGGCCAAACCCAGCCCTTGCTCACCTCCACCCTGCCTGCAAGCAGCCCCTTCTCATGGCCACTGTCTCCTCTCGCCTTATTCCTGGGCCCTTAGCCCTGCACTGCTCCCAGAACTTGTCCTGCTGTGACCCCCTGTCCTCTGCAGTCCCTTACAGTTCCCTCAACAGTTCCACCCCACAAATTCTATGCCCCCCAAAATAATCCTTCCACATACCAGCCCCCCAGCTACCCCGCACCAGGTCCCCAACACCAGCCCCCCCCCAATGCCCTCTGTCTGCCTCCTGCCATGGCTAGGTCTGGCCCTCACAGGACAGCACTGTCCATCTAAGACATCCACAGGCCACAAGCCTCAGCATTCCAGGGGCACAACCTGGCATTGTCTGGAGGGGTCAGCCCCCCCTGGAAACTTGCCTTTACCATCCCTGACTCAAAAACATCTGTCCATTGCTGAGCCTGAGCCTTTGCATCGCCATTTCTTGAAATCCTCTAGGGTATGGCCCATTTCACAGATGAGAAAGTCAAGGCGACAGCACATAGCCAGGCCATAGAGGACTCAGGACTCAGACTTTAGCCCTCTGCATCCAGTGACCTCCCACCAGCTCAGCCAGCAGGGTCACTGCAGGCCTGGGCTGGCCTCCGAGCATTGGAAACCAGGGCTGGAGGTGAGGTGCTGGATCCCCCCCAGGTCTGCTGTTATTCTCTGTGGGTCAGTGCACCCACCCTGACCTCCCGAGCCACTTCCTCTTACAAAAAACAGGCTTTCTGTGGGCAGACAGGTGGCTCTCAGACCTGGCTGCATAGACCGTCACCTGGGCCAGCTGGATCAGTCAGTGGGGTGGGGCCTGGAAAGTCTCCTTTTAAGTCCTCCAGGAGACCCCAACGTGCTGAGGGCTGGTGCCAACCCCCGCGGCCAGGCAAGATGGATGGAACAAAGACCAAGGCCCTGCAGCTGAACCTCCTGGGTCAAATCCTACCCTATCTGTCACCGGTTATGGGGCTTGGGCCTCAGTTTCCCCATCTGTAAGGGAGAAAAAATACTAGGAGTCACATCCTAGGGTTGGTGGGAGAATTAAGAGCATTCTACAGGGATCATGCTTAGCACAGAGCCCGTCAGCGCCAGTGCTGCAGACCCTGGGGGTGGCTTTATTACTGTCACCTCCAGGGAAGAATTTGTCTGGGCGGCCAGGCAGTGCAGTTTCCAGAACAGCCACGCGGTGGCGCCGCGCGCAGAGCTCGGGCTGGCGGGCCGGTCGCGGGCAGAGTGGGGGCGCTCCCCACCCGCGGAGGGTCCAGGGAGGGCCCAGGG